ATCTGCTAAGCTGAAAAATCCATTTTCCCTTATAAGCAGGATATATATTTTTATGTATATATAGTAAAATCTGGGCCTATACGTGTCACTTAACACCAGCGTTGAAGCTGTCAATATTTTTGGCTCTTATTTCAATTAACATTATGAAACTTCGCGCTCACTTTACTGCGATTCGCGTTATGTCATTCATAGTGCAACTATTAGAAAACACTACATCTTGCGACAGTTTATTACCACACTATCGCCAAAGTCATAACGAAAAAAGGGCTACTTTCCTGTTCTGAACTATTCCCTTTCTTTTTATATTCACATTATATCATTATTTATAATTTTCCCAATTCATCCTTCTTCGCATCTCTCTTGTTTTCTCACTATCAAGTATATACAAGCATCTGATCTAATTTTTTCAACGCTTATACTCAAGGGACAAATATGACAGTCTTATTATGGTGACGGGTATGTAACTTAAATGGGACCTGATTTACTAACCTTAATTTAAAAGTGACGATTCGCATCGACTCTGACCCTCGCTCTAAGAAACAAGAATCTATTTTATTGAAAAGCAAAAGAGTTTAGACTCCAATATTTCTCATTCGACATAAAATATATAATACTCTTACAATGATATCAACTCCTTTTCTTGTGACAACATCTCAACAGAGAGAATTTATTTCTGTACTTATAATTCACGAATACGCAGAGACTCGAGATAGTGAGAACTGCATAACAAAATACTAACCTTCTTTTTTTAATTTTAGTGGTTCAGCACATATGTCCGCACTTTGCAGATTTTTTACTTTAACTACAAGAAGAAGCAAACTCAAAATCAAAAACGGGTCAGTTTTCTTGCGGGAGTTGTCAGTCATCTACTGCAAAGCCAATCACAAGTTTATCCTTATTCCGGAGTTGTTCTTTGAAAACTCCGAAATTTTCCGCTGCAAAAGGAAAGAGGAAAAAGGTAATACCTTATAGAGGGGGTTGAGGGTCCAATTTTTGCTACTCTTTCACTTCTGCAAGATGTTTCGAGCGAATGCCGAGAAGGCAAAAAAGTTGCCTTGGCTTGTAACGTTAATATCATGCAGCTATTTTTTGAAAAATTGAACTTTTAGAACCGCTTTCAAAGTTAGGGGTATATAAACGGTGCTCATATGTTATGATCTCGGGATAAAGGTCAGGATTACAGTTTAATTTTGTTCTCTTATTTCTTGGTCTTTAAGTTCCCAAATTTTGTAGCTTTCCTAATAAAGGTATTTTTAGGGCGACGAAATATTATCGATATGCAGCTATTTCCTTTTCTACCGTTGGCTTTATCTTTGGCCAATTCCCTCGCTGTTTCTGGTTCTTCTGTAAGTTCTTATGTCCAGTTTCCGGTCCAAAAGTTGGCAAGCATTCCAAATATAGCCTCGCAGTATACATCTGGTATTTTTAAGAGAGGCGAGGCTTTTAATTCAACATTGGTACATGAAATAGGTCTGTATGCTGTCAAAATGGAGATTGGAACTCCTCCCCAAACCGTGTATCTTCAATTGGATACCGGCTCTTCAGATATGTATGTTAATGACGCTGATAGCGCCTACTGCGAATTGTTGTCTGATGGGTCAGACTACGTCTCAACTGATAATTACGAGCTCACGGCAACATTCAGCGAGCTTCCTTCTAGCACGGTCTCGGCAGAAGCTTATAATACTCTCTGCTCCTACTGGGGTGCATTCAGCCCCAGTAACTCCTCCACTTTCAAGTACAATGACACTTTTTTTGATGAGACTTATGGCGATGGTACGTATTATGAAGGTACGTATGGAACAGATGTTGTCTCTTTAGGTGATATTACGCTAAAGAGTTTCTCTTTTGGGGTAGCCAATAATACAGAAAATCAAAACGGGATTCTAGGTATATCGCTTCCTGCTGGAGAATATACTGATGCACTTGAAAATGCCTATAATATAACACCTTTTGAGTATAGAAACTTTCCAATGGCATTGAAAAGCTACGGAAAGATCGAGAAGATGGCATATTCCTTATTTTTGAATGAGCCTGAAGCACATTTTGGCAGCATCTTGTTTGGTGCTGTCGACAAAAATAAATACTCGGGACAGCTCTACACATTACCTATGCTGCAGGCATTCAATACACTCGACTCTCTGGGACCAGGAATGTTTGTCACTGCGCAGAGCGTTGCAATTTCGGATGGTTTTTCTGGAAACAAAACTGTTTCTGAGATCCAGTTCCCAGTATTGTTTGATTCTGGCACAACCTATTCTACTTTACCTACAGAAATAGCAGATTCGATTGGAAAATTTTTTGACGGAAAGTACAGCTCTGATGATCAAGGTTACATCGCTGATTGTTCAAAAATGAATAATACTCTATTATCTATTGATTTTGGGGGATTTAATATCTCTGCAAATATATCTAATTTCGTGACACGGACCAAGGATCACTGTCTTTTAAATATTGAAGCCACAGACTCGGGATTCGTGTTAGGGGATGCTTTCCTCGTCGACGCATATGTCGTCTATGATTTAGAAGACTACGAAGTTTCTATTGCTCAGGCTAGCTTTAACAGTCAAGGGGAAGACATTGAAATTATCTCCAACAGTATTCCAGGTGCTATACCAGCCCCCGGATACTCCAGCACATGGGTGTATACACCAGATAGTCCCATAGGAACAGGAGATTTTCTTAATATGAGCTGGACCTCATATTCAGACTATTCGGAATACCAAACTTTACTCTCTGCTGCAACTGCAAGTAGTAGCAGCAGCAGTAGCAGTTCAGACCAAACAACTACGAAAAAACGGAACTCCGGTGACAGAATACAGCAATCATTTTTTTCCTTTTCGCTAATACCTCTTCTATCTTACATCCTTTTGTGAGATTTCCCTAAAGAAAAAAATATTTACACTCTATTGAGTTTCTTTTTTGAAAAATTGG